CTCATCTGGTAGGTGTCTCTAACTCCCATCCAGCAGGTTCAACTCCCTGATGATCTCGTCTCAAACAGGGACTTGCACATCGCTTAAACGAACCCTGCACAGTCGGGAACGTTCACGTCCCTCGAGTCAGTCATGGCAAAACTGATTTGCTTCGAGTTTCGCTTCGGAAGAGCCTGAAGTTTCGTTCCTCTCGCTGCAGGCCGACCGTCGCTACTGGCAATTTTGCCTCCTCCATGTTGCATGACTAACAATTACATCTCACCCTGGTGTAGAGGTCCCGTTGAGTTTGAACAGCGTCTGTGTCCCTGATATCTGGCCTTTAGCTTGGTGACAAGAAGTTTGTGCAGAAGAAGCTACCCAGCTCATCTCTCCCACTTCCAAAAACAAAAATCTTTCCCCTCAATACCAGCAAAACGAAGGAGCTGCTCATCGACTGCAGGAGGCAGAATGGAGCGCACACCCCTGTCTGTATCAACGGTGCTGAGGTGGTCCAGAGCTTCCAGTCCTGAGAGTAAATATCACCAATGCTCCATTCAGCATGTCCTCAATGACTCCTACCAGTTTTTATCGATGCACCATAGAAAGCATCCTGTGCTGATGCATCGCAGCGAGGTACGGCTACTGCTCTGCCCAACACCGCGAGAAATCACAGAGAGTCGCGAACACAGCCCAGTCCCTCACACAAACCATCCATTGCCTCGGGAGAGCAGCCAACACCCCGTCCCACCCCGGTTATACTCTCTTCCACCCTCTTCCATCAGGCAGAAGATACAAAAGTTTGAAAACACGCATCATCAGATTCAAGAACAGCTTCTTCCCTGCTGTTATCAGATTTCTGAACCTAATAATATATTAGGTCTTCCCCTGCACCTTCTCTGTAGCCGTAACACTATATTCTGTTCTATTACCCTGAAGTACTTATGCAAGGAATGGTTTGTCTGGATAGCACACAAAACAACACTTTTCACTGTACTTTGGTACACTGACAACAATAAATCAAACTGCATCAAATCAGAAAAGCCTTTCGCCTTCAAGAAAGCTCATTTCCTGTAGACTTTTTTTCTCTGTTTTCAAGGATGTTCTGGGGCTGTTTGGAGGGATAAACTTTACGTGGTCACATATGTGTACGTGATCTGATGATCGCCTGTTCATTAATACGCACAGATTTTATTCTAAACTAGGTTGGTAGACCCTCTTGTCTGAAACTTAATGTAGATCGCAAGCAGCAGAACACCAGAGAGGCTGGAAATCTGAAACAAACACAGAGAACGCTGGAGAAACGCAAATGTGGGGAGAGAACCGGAGTTTGATCCAACTCTTATTGAGTCAATTCCTAGCAGAAATCTTTCAGAAAATAGCCAGTGATTGGTGCTAGCCTGAGACTCAGGACTCACTGAGTGTTAAACCTGTCTCTTTCCTGTGTCCAAATCCCAGGAACCTTCTGAGGAAGGGTCACCGGACCCGAAATGTTAACTCTGTTTTCTCCTCCACAGATAAAAGCCTTCAACAAAGTCCCACATAAGAGGTTAATGTGCAAGTTTAAAGCGCATGGGATTGGGGGAAGTGTATTGAGATGGACAGGACACTGGTTGGCAGAGAGGAAACGAAGAGTAGGAATTAATGTGTCCTTTTCAAATTGGCAGGCAGTGACTAGTGGGGTGCCATGGGGATCGGTGCTGGGACCCCAGCTATTCACAATATATATTAACGAGGGAACAAGATGTAACATCTCAAAGTTCGCAGACGATACCAAGTTGGGTGGGAGGGTGAACTGTGACGAGGATGCGGAGATCCTTCAGCATGATCTCGACAGGTTGGGTGAGAGGCAACTCAATGGCAGATGCAGTATAATTTGGATAAATGTGAGGTTATTCACTTTAGAAGCAAAAACAAGAAGGCAGATTGCTACCTGAATGGCTGTAAATTGGGAGAGGGGAGTGTGCAGTGGGACCTGGGTGTCCTTGTGCACCAGTCGCTGAAGGTAAGCATGTAGGTGTAGCAGGTGGTAAAGAAGGTAAATGGTATGTTGGCCTTCATTGCGAGAGGTTGCGAGTACGGAGCAGGGATGTGTTGTTGCAGCTACACAGGGCCTTGGTGAGACCACACCTGGAATATTGTGTGCACCTTTAGTCTCCTTTTCTGAGGAAGGATGCTGTTGCTCTTGAGGGAGTGCAGTGAAGGTTTACCAGGCTGATTCTGGGGATGGAGGGTCTGACGTATGAGGAGAGATTGCCTAGGTTAGGATTGTTTTCAGACAAATGAGGGGGGATCTCATAGAGACGTATAAAATTCTAACAGGACGGGACAGGGTAGATGCAGGGAGGATGTTCCCGATGGTGGGTGTGTCCAGAACCAGGGGTCACAGTCTGAGGATTCGGGGTAGACCATTTAGGACGGAGATGAGGAGACATTTCTTCACCCAAAGGGTGGTGATCCTTTGGAATTCATTATCGCAGGAAGTAGTTGATGCCAAAACACTGAATGTACTCAAGAGGCGGCTAGATATAGCACTTGGGGAGAATGGGATCAACGGTTATGGGGAGAAAGCAGGATTAGGACGATCAGCCATGATTGTGAAGAATGGCAGAGCAGGCTCGAAGGGCCAAATGGCCTCCTCCTGCTCCTATCTTCTACGCTTCAGTGTTTCTCTAACGCTGCCAAACGCACCACTGTCACCATCAAACCCCAGTACCATCAACATAATGCTGCGATCCCCCCCACTATCGCTGGCACTGCGCCAGCAAGGTAATTTTGCCAAACCCTGGCGCCATTGCCATAATGCAGCCAATTACCATGGCGCTGCCAATCACCACCATATTACCAAACTCCAACACCATCACCATGATGTTACCAAACCCCAGCACCATCAGCAAAATGCCGCCATCCGCTCTGACGCAACCAGACGCCAACAGCATCACCCACATTGGCAAAAGTCCAGTGCCATCACCTTGGCACTACCAATCACCGCGATGTGAGCAAACCCCAAAACCATGGCATTGCCAAACCTGCCATCATCATCATTCTGTCAGGGAACTGGGAAGGGCACAAAAGACCAAGATGGGGTGTCTCATGTCCAAAAGGGGCTCAATTGACACAACACTGGAAGCGTGCAGTAGGGGACAGACAGCAAGACTTGGCATCTCTCCTTACCCATGAGGAAGATGCCATCCAGGCTATTAGTGACACAGAATTCAGTCCCTAGAAAGGGTCAAAATTGGTACAGAGTAGGAATTGGGGGTCAAAGGTTTACAGGATGGGGGTTTATCGAAGGACAGTGAGGGAAGCGAGACAGAAATTTCAGAGATATGGGCAGAACCTTTCAGTATTCCATGCCCTCAGGGGCAGTGCCAGTGGAGAACTGTGAACATCACACTTTCATAAAAATACAACAGGCCACCGAGTCCGCACCGACCCTCTGCATCCCACCCAGACCCACCGACACCCTCCTTTCCCTAACCCTGTAACCCAGCATTCCCCACGGCCAATCCACCCTAACCCGCACATACCCAGGCACTATGGGTAATTTTTTTTCTTTATTCATTCACGGGATGAGGGCGTCGCTGGCCAGGCAGCATTTATTGTCCATCCCTAATTGCCAAGAGGGTGGTTTAGAGTCAACTGCAATGCCATGGGTCTGGAGTCACATGTAGGCCCAGACCAGGTAAGGATGGCAGTTTCCTTCCCTAAGGGGCATTAGTGAATCAGATGGGTTTTTCCCCAACATTTGACAATGGATTCACGGTCATCATTAGATTCTTAGTTTCAGATATTTACTGAATTCAAATTCCACCATTTGCCGTGGCAGGATTCAAACCCGAGTCCCCACAACATGACCTGGGTCTCTGGATTAATAGTTCAATGATAATACTACGAGGCCGTCGCCTCCCCTGTGGCCTAGCGCGGTCAATCCACCCTAACCTGCACATCCCTGGGCACTATGGGTAATTTAGCACGGCCAATCCACCCTAACCTGCACATCCCTGGGCACTATGGGTAATTTAG